GGGGGGAATCCTAACAACAAAAATAAAAACGCGAGCCCATATAGGGTATGTGAGAGTGGGACACTTTTTTGGGGTGTGTGTTTGGCTGTGTGCTGCGTCCAACGCCCACATGGGCGACTCAGCCCGCCTGGAGAGTGGGCGGCAGGGGGCGCCCCTGAACCTCACACGCTGATTGGTCCGACACCCACATCCCTCCGCAGCCTGGCCGGCAGGAAGTCACTTTGATGTCCTCTGTGTGCGACCGGGCCGACCGGGCCACCACCGCCGGCGCGCGCAAGACGCTATACATACGATATGGAGGGACGAGGACGAGAGAGAGCGTGAGCGAGAGAGAGAGCGTGAGAAAGAGAGAGTGAAAGAGCGAGAGAGCAAGAGAGCGAGAGAGGGCGCGAGAGAGAGCGAGAGAGAGAGCGAGAGAGCGAGAGAGAGAGCGAGAGGGCGAGAGAGGGCGAGAGAGAGAGCGAGAGGGCGAGAGAGAGCGAGAGAGAGAGCGAGAGGGCGAGAGAGAGCGAGAGAGAGACAGCAAGAGAGCGTGAGCTAGAGAGTGTGAGCGAGGGAGCGTGAGCAGATGTAAAAAAAAGTGTCCTCGTAAATTTATGGCATTACTCTGGTTAAACAAGTGTTTAAAGTTCAACGCCAATTGGTGTTTAAGTTCAAGTGAGCATTTTCTCAACATATTGCGTTGTTTAACTAGTTTAAACGTCAATTGGTGTTTAAACTTTAAGCACTTACGAATCAGAATCTAAACGTGTACAAAACGTTAAAAATGTGCACACCACGCACGTGTGCAACTTGAACTGAACACCATGTAATGTTTAATATCATAACTTTAACTCGTTGGTGTTTCAATAATGCACACTTTTATCCGTATAGTTGAGAAGAGTGTGAGCGAAAGAGGATCCATTCTATTTTCACACAGGTTGCTTGTGCTGACCCGGCCGATGTTTGTTTGCTCAGCTCTAGACGCCGGCGCATCCCCGCGACGCCATATTGCTCTGCGAGGAGCGAGATATCGATATGAAGAGGCGAAGGAGAGCGGGGGAGCACGGAGCAGTACAGTCACGGAACCTCTCATTGCGCACACACGCTCGATAAAGGAAGTAGTCTCGACGCACGGCCGCAATCTTATCAGATACAGATAAAAGTAGGTAGGGAAAACGGCAGCATGACGCCATCAACGCTAGGTCCGACGACAAGTGCAATAGTGCAGTGGCAGTAGTCAGTAGGCAAGCCTATGGAGCACGCGTGCTCGCGAGGTTGCCTACCCTGCGCATCGCAGGCGCCGAGTGGGCGCCCGGCGGCACAACAGGGAGGGCGGGCGACGGCCACACCGCACCCGCCCACTGTGTGGTGGCATCAACACTGCTAATCATAGGATTTGGGGACACCCCCCCCTCCCCTCCCCGCCGCCCGCTAGGCCCGGCCGCCTGCCTCTGCGCTGCGCGCGCGCCTTTACGTCTGTTGGAACAAAGAGGGGAAAACACACAGCCCGGCCGACAAGGACATTATCATAAAGTTGCGCCCCGCCCCGCCCCGCCCAGCGCGCAGCTCTCCGCACGAAAAGAGTGTCTCGCACCCAATTTGTACGGGGCGTGGCATGGCGTCGCCGCGGGTAGAGAGGGACAGGCGAGCGAGAGAGAGAGAGAGAGAGAGAGAGAGAGAGAGAGAGAGAGAGAGAGAGAGCGGGAGAGAGAGGGAGAGAAGGAGAGAGAGAGAGGTCGATGCGAATGGGAGCGTCCTCCTCACATCTGCCCGCCTTGCTTCGCAGCGCCACGAAGAGACACAGGGAAGCCGAAACGAACTGATGATGAACCCGCCGCGGTCGGGAAAAAACCTGCGGCAGGCGAAGGAGGGGACAAGGAGCTCAGAGTGGGTCGCTCCAGCACGCCGCCGCCGCCGTCGTATCTGCAATCGCGATTGCGCAACGTTGTCGCACCTACGAAGAGAAGAAGTACAGTTGTTGTGTGTCTTCGCTTCACAGGGTGCCTCCTAGTCGCCCCCGCCGGCCCCACCCGGGTGGCGAAGAACTGCCTCCGCCCAGCCAGGCCGAGGGGCGGCCAGGACCGCGCCGCCCCGCCGCCCCGCCCGCGTCCGGTCCCTGCGCTGACCCCACCCCCCTCACCCCCCGGACTGGTGTGGTGACTCGATAAACATGCAAACTTCGTTTTCTTTTAGTGAGCGCCAGGGGCATGCACAGCTCTGGCGCTCTGGCAGCCCAGAGGCCCCCTGCCCCCCTCCCCTTCTCTCTCTCTCTCTCTCTCTTCCCCTCCCTCTTCCGTCTCTGTCCCCCGCTCGATCCCACGCGCATTCTCCTCCCCGACGACGACGTGACCACCCCAAGCGGAGAGAGGCGAGACTCTTCTGAAAACAGTTGATAACGTCCACCATATGTACCGTGCTGCGTTACAATTTTCATTCCTTTATTGTTTATTGATTTATTTCATCTCCACAAAAGAGGCGGCAGGGGGCGATTAATTGGAATTCGCTTCGAGCTCTCTCGAGCTCTTTTCCATATTCCCGTCCGGCTCCGGCTGGCCTCTGTTAAATTGTTTGGTAAAGTAATACATGCAGGGAGCGTCGATATCCGAACAGAGGGATGATGTCAAGGGTGGGGGCGGGGAGGGCGGCTTAGTAGGGGGTCACGGGGAAACGGAAGGAGAGAGGGAGAGCGAAAGAGCGAGTGAGAGCGAGTGTGAGAGAGCAAGAGTGAGAGAGCGAGCGAGAGAGTGAGAGAAAGGAAGAGAGAGAGGCAAGTTAAAGAGGTAAGAGGAGAGAGCACTCCCCAGCATACACGACATAAGCCCACTCGGCGTAATTTTAATTTTTCAGTCCATTGGTCCGGCCAAATGGAGAGCAGCGCCCGGCGGGCGCGCCCCGCCCCGCCAGCGATTGCTTTTCTTTGTTGTGGAGTTTACAGTCGTGAGGAGAGGGGAGGGGGAGGGGAAGGTTATGTAGTTGGGTGCACTGCCCACTTTTATAAAGTTAAAAAAAAGGAAATATTATCCGCACGATACAAAACTTTTTGTGACATGCATGCCATTGCCTATTGTCACTTTACCTCGCCTATTGCAGCCCTGTACCTTCCGCATGCCATCCACTCGAAATACACGGCACGAAGTATCTTTCTCTCTCTCTCTCTCGCTGCAGAAACCTGCTCCCACCATCTCGCCCGCTCTGAAGCATATTGCAGGGCTCATGACCCCTCCCCCCCC